GCGGATGGCTACAGGCAGGCCCGAGGCGTCAGGCGCGGACTGACCGCTGCCGAGCAGACACAGCGTCGTCCATAAGAGCAGACCGGTCCACCAGCGGGGCTGTAGCGTCGACGCCTCCATGTTGAAACTCGGTGAAGTTGTATTTTCGGTGTGTTTGGTGTTGACTTTACGGCGCTCCGTTCAGTTTGACATCCTGTCTGCAGCGACACGGGACAGGAGATCAGGTGGCGATGATGCTAAAATGACGGCTAAAACCATGATGGCAGATGAGCCACAGATAGGAAGAGGGACGGGGTCACACTGTGTTGTTCTCCGGGTTTCTTGACGTTAAATGGAGGAACCCAATGTTACACCTGCACAGACATGTAGTGCAAAAATAGCCTAGGCTGGAAATCAATTCACCCTCACAATTAAATCAGGCAACCATCGACGGGCTCTCCCTCCGTGCTCAGTGTATCGACAACCCGCAGACCTGTGTCGTTTTCTCCGCACATCCTCGTGTCAAACGGCCGAAACCTTCGTCGGTAAGCAGGCTGACCGCCGGGCCTCCGTAATCCGCATCCTTCAGCTTCCCCGGCCCGTTCATTCTGTTCTCCGCCTTCCAGTCTTTCACCTCCTCCTCCTCCTCCATCCACCCCGCTGCATCCTTCAGAGCTGCGAGAGCGCGAGCATCGTCGATCGGCCGACGTCAAGTTACACTGCGAAACCGCGCGACTTCCTGTACGTGTTTCCTAAATAAGACAGCGATAAAAGGCTCCACGCTGAAATGTCCCGCAGCACAGCGCCGCAGTTAGAGGTCAACTGCCCGAACCAGTCTGTACCATGAAGGGAGTTTGCCTGTATGGGCTGTTAGCCCTTACTGGTACCCATACGGTGTCTCCTACTTATCTGTGCAATACAATACGCTGTGACATTCGGCCACAGATAACCATCACGCACGTTTTTAATCCTCCAAATGCGCACCGTGCATCGTTTCCTCATAACGCCTTTTAATTTGAAGGCGCTGTCACGTCCTGACTCTCGACGCTTCTTCAGGAACGGTCCCTGGGACACTCCGCCTTCTGGGTAATGATGTTTTCACCGTGATCGCTTCGGGGATCACAGGGGTTTCTATCCCCATATCACATTTGCGTTTGAGGCATTGCTGCCTGCTCTCATCCAGCACACAGCCACTACAGCTCACAGTCCATTTGGATTTTATAAACACTTATTATAGATTACATTTAGGAAAAACCGGAGACCAAGATGTCAGAAGGTTATTTTATTATCTTAGACACCAAATAACAGCATTGCTGTTGTACAAATTACCATATCATTTTCATAAATTATTATGTGTGCTTGTTGTTCTCAGCTGTGAGTATGTCGGGGTCCTAGAAGCCTATGTATGTATATAATCTATAGGACTTTACTGTGACTCTGTAGTGCTCTTATTGAATGCTATAATATTATATATACAGCGTCATCGATCATATTGCCATAGACAATACTGTTTTGATGGAGCACATGCACAATGCATACCATTACTATACATTTCTTTGGTAAGGGAGACCACAAACTATATACATGTACTATAAAACACACAGTGAAGTTGCATCAAATTTAAATCAAAGCTCAGTGAGTTTCTCTAACAAACAGCCTCTCTCTTGAGATGATCCTGGGCAGTCCCAGTAGGAAGGGATAGGGAGGAAGGCAGCAGGTGCTAATATAGTGTGTCCATCTTTCCTCTCCATGGTGAGTCCCACTGAGTCTTTACAGTGGTGGAAAAGTCCACACTGTTGCTCTGCCAACAACGGGGCTGGGTCCTCCTGTCCTGAGGATGCAGGAGAACACAGTTGAGCAGGTATTGATCAGCACATAGACCAGCGTTTATTATATCCTCTATATATCAAACCCAAATCATTTGCCCACTGTCCATTGCTCAATCCAGCTTCGTAACACTGGAGAAGTAAGAGTGATGCATGTGGCTGGAGGTCAAAGCACTGCTGGATAAACCACCAAGAGGGCTTTGACCTGTGTTTGAGGATCTTTTCTGTAACCCTGCCTCTTGCAAGAAGCATCTAATCAGCAAATAGGTCCAACAAATGCAGAAAATGAAGCCCTGTGTGGAAATTGTGGACGTGGATGAAAATACGTTATATTATTAAAAGGGAAACTATAATGAAACACTATGCTCTCAACAAGATTAATTATATTGGGTGGTGCACTCACTAGTTGAAGTCTTTGACCCCCAGCTTCTCTGCTCTCCAGGTTTTGTGACAAGGGGCTCGGTTCTGCCCTCTGGTGGACACCACACTGCTAGGTGACCAGAATTACCCAACCTACACACACATACACACACACATAAGTATCCCCCCCACACAGATACTGTATATAATAGTCCCACAAGCATAGTACACAGATATGTAAACTCCTATAAATCACCACAATCATGTCTCTCACAGTTGTACTATACACGGCCAACAACCCGCCATGTGTGAACATCCTTTGCATACAAAGGTCAAAGATTAGCTATCATCGAGGCTGCTGTCTTATCACTATGTACCAGCTGATAACAGCGATAAAGAGGCACTGTGATCTAGTCATGATTTCAGCTGGCCTTTCCGGGGACAGATGTGTTTCTTAATCAGGCAAACTGTATTCAGGGGGATTAGTCACTCACTGGTCGTGGGGGTCTGCAGTCCTGAAGCCTTTAGCAAACGGGTTGCTTGCAATTTTTAGCTGGGTGATCTGAGAGAGAAAGGGTGGAGGGGGTCAAATAAATAAGAGAAAAAGAAAATACATTTCTGTCATTAGTAGACAGGAGTCAGACATGTGCTTGATAGAACAAACAACAAGGACAACAATCAAACAGATGTGTGATTAGTGAGAAGCCGACTGATCCCTACCCGGTGGTTTTGGTAAGCAGTGACAGCCATAAAGCGAGTCTCGAGGAAGGAAAAAGAGCAGAAGTTCCTGTATGCATTTACTTGACTGTTAGGAGATGGATCCACATACACCACATGGAAGCGTGGCTGGTAGCGATGCATGGAGTTCAGTATCATCTGGCAAGGAGGAAGTCAAAAAGAGTCGTTTCTATATGTTTTTGCATGATGAAATATAGCGCAACTTTGTCCTATGCAGTTTTTTCTGCGCTAAAAAGTGAAAGCATGTAGGAGCCACATTAAAGACATTGACTGACATGTCCGTTGTCATCCAGCAGGTTGTTGGTGAGCTTGAGAGTGTCGAAGGATACCGTCTGCTTCATCCACTGGGCTCCACAGGCAGGTGAGTCTGGGTGGAAATGCATCCTGCTTGGGGCCACAACATCCGCTCGCCCTGCCACCAACCAGGATGAACTGTGGAACGCATATCTGATACACACACAGACACATTTCAAATGTGTAAAATAGGACAATAGGATAGATAAGGTGGGATGAAGTTTGCAGAGGAGGAACTACCACAGATCTAGGTTATAAGTGGACAATGATGGTGCATGGAAAAAGTAGAACAGATCAGAACTAAGTTCAAATGTTTCCTATGTGTTGGAAAAAGTAACAATCTCTGTTATACACTACTCACACACACACACACAC